GTTTAAAATTAAAAATTATTCAAAATGCATTACATTTTATTAAGTTAGAAACTTTCTTTCAATTTCAGAATGTGGTGGTTACTTGCGGGCGACTAATCAAACGCAGGTCTTTTACTCACATCCACGCTATGGTCATCGTGTTTATAATCGTCATATGTACTGTAATTGGCGAATACAAGCTGATTCTGAAAGCAGCGTTCAAATTAAATTTTTGCACTTTGAAATCGAATATTCTGACCGCTGCGAATATGATTCAGTGGAAATTAGAGAAGAAATTTTTGAAGAAAAGTATATGCGAAATAGCAATCATGGTCGTTTTTGTGGCAATAGGGTAAGCAAAAAGCAAGATTTTACTTTCATAAAACATACAAACATACATACCTAACCGCTAAAAAGTACTAAACATTTTTCTCACCTATTTTCAGAAACCACCCACAATTAAGTCATACACTGACACCTTACTCATGCGTTTTCAAACGGACGGCAGCACTTCATTGCGCGGCTTCGCCGTTTCATTTGTAGCAGTAGAACCACCGGATGAGGACTTGATAGATGATTTAGATGCAGTGACGCCGTTTCCTGGTTATATGCGCAGCATGTACTATGCCTCGGATACGGGTAGCGATTATGATGATGATTAATATGTGGCAATAATTTAGCATGTATTGCTTGTTTGTTATTACTGATGTACAATTAGTCGGTTTATTAATGGAAATATAAGTCATTTTAATGTAGTCATGATGTATTGTATATATTTATTTATGTATATAAGATTTTGTGCCGTGCCAATAAATGTAAAATTATTTGAAAAATTAAGTGACTGCGAAAATAGATAAAAAAAAATTAAAAAAAGGAATCCATTCAATTCAATTGTCTGTGTTTTGAGCAGTGTTGCCATTTTAGCCGTTTTCCGGCTAGATTTAGCCGGTTGCGGTAGCAAACAGCCGGAGAAATTACGATTTAGCCGGCAGCCGTTTTGCAGAAAAAAATTAGCCGTTTTTAGCCGATTTTGCTATTTGCCTTTTTTTCTTAAATTTCAAATATGTATATTTGTTTCCATTTTTGACTAAGTGACCCAAAATCTGTTAGAAATGGTTACTAGCCTTATCGTGGAGAAAATTTGCATGTAAGGCAGGGTTGTATGAAATTGGGCCGATTTCGCTTATTTTTATTTTAAACGAATAAGGGATTTTCTTCATAAAATGTTTGTTATAAATGTCTGAATTTTGAGTGTGAAGTTTTATTCGCAAACTTGGAAAATAAGAAATTATTTCACTGTTAAGACACTTAAGATGCGTTTGTGTTTGGATATAGTGCCAACAAACAGAATAAATATTACATGTAGATATTGTCTTCCCAGATAGCGCATATTCAATTCTGCCCAAATTACAAAACATCATTTTTGCCCACTCCCAAAGGTTTAAGGTAAGGGAAAAATTTATATTTTCAAGCACTATGTACACATATGTATTTTTTTAAACAAACTTTTTTGCTGAGAACTTTTTTATTTAAATTCCAAAAACCGAATGCCAACTTGAACTAAAGGAACCAACACTGCAGTGAGTCAAAATTAAAATAAAAGAGCACAAATTTCTATGTAAAGCAAAATTCTCTGGGAATCCTACGAGACATCTGCCGGTCATATGACCGGTCACCTAAATGGGAGATCTGCAGTCTTTTGGCATCATATTTTACATCAGAAGTGAAGGGATTTCTGAAAAATCTGACCAGTTCTTTTGTGTAACTGTGATTTTGCATCCCTTGTCAACATATGGCCTCGGTTGAAGTTAACTTAAGGTCGTTGTTTTACTGCCTTAAAATTGAAGGGAAATTTTTACAGCGTTTTTTATGTGTATTGGTTTCTATTTGAGTGTATTGAGAATCGGTCAGTCTGAAAAGGCCTTGTAGGGAAGACAATAGGTTTGTTCGTCGAAAATCCAGCGAGAATTATCACTCAAAATATCAGATAGTGAGAAAAAATGCTCCCAAATTCTCTCTCATGTAGAGAAACTTGCAATTTTCTGTGCGAACGCAAATTTGCAAGTTTTTCTGCCAGCTCGTGTCCACGGTTGCATTTCAAACAAAAGAAATTTGTATAAAATTTTTAAAATTCTTTCAGGGGGGCAAAAAACAGGATCTACGTGAATATAACTTGTCAGTCCGACTTTCTTCAACATACGTTTCAATTTCTTTGTCGGGTTTACCATATACTCTGGTTGAGATTGCATTCCGATTAAGAATACAGTTTTTTTGCCGAGTACCTTGCAAATCATTGGAATTAACTAAATTAATTAAGTAACTTAACTTACATTTTTCATTTTAAAATCGCTCCAGCTTGTAAATTTTTAAATTCAACGAACTTGTTTATTCAAATTATCGTCGACAAAAAATCCAACCATGTGCCACAATCATATATTTTTCGTGATTGCAAATTCTTGCTGGAAAATTTTTTTCGACTCGAATTTGTAACTTCTCTCCAAGAAATAGTATTTTTACTCGTGATTTATTTAAATAAAACATGTGAAATTTAGGCGAAACATGTTAGCCGGTTTTATTTGCCAATTTAGCCGGTTCGTCCAAAAAGTTCTGGCAACACTGGTTTTGAGTTGAATAACCGTAAAAAAGGAACAGTCCAGCGCCTTCGTCTTGGTCTGGAGACTGTATCGGAGATACAGCCGCTAAATTTAAACGTAGAATACGTGGTATCGTTAAGAGCATATCCAAGTCAAAAACGAAAGCACACACTAAGAAAAAAATATCGATAAAAAATCGATAATAATATCGATAGCAAAATCGGTAAAAACATCGATAAAAAAATCGATGAAAATATCGTTATCAAACATCGATAACAAACTCGATAACTAAATCGATTATCAAATCTATCAAAAAGTCGATTACAAAATCAATAACAAAGACGATAAAAAAATCGATTACAAAGTCGATAAATAAATCGATAACAAAGCAATAACAATATCGATAGAAAATCGATCAAAATATCGAGAACAAAAGCGATAACAATATCGATAGCAAAATTAATAAAAATGTCTTTAACAAAACCGATAAAAATATTGATGACAAAATCGATAAAAATATCGACAACAAAATCGATAAAAATCGATCACCAAATCGTAAAACAACCGATAACAAAATCAACAAAAAATGTCTATGACAAAATCGATAAAAATATCGATCCTTATATCGATAAGTTCCGAAAATATCGATAGCAAAATCAGTAACAATATCGATAACAAAATCGATAAAAATATCGATAACAAAAGCGATAATAATAGTGATAGCAAAATCATTAACACAATCAATAAAAATATCGATAACAAAAGCGGTAAAAATATCGATGACTAAATCGATTAAAATATCGACAACAAAATCTATAAAAATATCGACAACTAAATCTATAAAAGTATCGATAACAAAATCGATAAATAATCGATAACAAAGTCGATAACTACATCGATTACAAAATCGATAATAAAATCAATAAAAATATCGACCAATATATCAATAAGTTCCGAAAATATCGATAGCAAAATTAATAAAAATATCGATAACAATTTCGATAACAAAATCGATAAAAATATCACTAACAAAACCAACAAAATATCGATTATTACATCGATAAATCCCGATAATCCCCAAGATCACTAAAATCCCGAAATAGTTCCCAGAATGAGTCTCTGTGTCTCTATCTTTATCCTTTTCTCTACAACTACCTTTATTTTAATCTTTCTTCCTCTATCTTCATCTATACTTTCATCAGTATCCTCATACTCATCTTTTTCTTTATTATTAGTAGCTTGTGGAACAAACCTAATATGTAAAATCTCTATTTTAAAAATCTCTATTTTAAAATACAATTGCATTTATTTCGCTATCTCGTTCTCAAGATATTTGATTATGTCACAAAACAAAGTTAATTTTGCACACTCTTGTTGTGGTCGAGGATATCGATCTCACCTGGGATTCAAATTGGCAGCATGATTACGCTCTCCAACTTCAGATTGAAGAATGAGTCGGTGCGTCTGAACCAAGATTAAATGAAAGGTTGCTGGACTTTGGAAAGTCTTGCAAATTTTAAAAGTACATTGTTTCTAGCTTCTAAAAATTCAAAAATGAAAATCATTCATAGAGCGCTTTTCGAGTAAAGTGACCAGGGCGAATTAATATAAGGTGATAGCAGGAGTACAAAAACAAAAATTTACATGTATTTTGTTTTTGCTTTGGCGGCATAAACTGTCAAAATCTGTAAGAGTGTGTGTAGAAATTCAAACAAAATTTTTTAATTTGAAATCAGAAGCCGTGCGGCGAAACACATACACAAATCAGCTGAGCTAGTAACATTAACTTATATTAATTCGCCTTGAAAGTGACTTTAAAAGCTTTTATTCCATTTTTAATTTTTTTTTAATTTTATAATCTTCTTTTTTACAGTTATGTGTATTGTATATACATTGGGGTGGTATATATTGAAATTTGTATGCTCTCACCCCCTAGGATTGTTCTGTTTTCTTATTTTCAAATCAAAAAGTATATATTCTCTTGTGCGTTCACCTTTACCCGGATTTTAATATAGGCTAGCACTTTCGTGGGCTTTTTGTTCCATATATCGAATGCATTAAGTGTTATACTACCTAGCTCAGTGAGTCTGCGTCTAGCGAGAGCAACACATTAACAAAGGATGTATTCTGACTTTTCTTCGTCCATCTCACAGCACCAAGCGCAGGGAACAATGTCCCATGAAGTACCCAGTGAGAGTTCGAATGTCCTGCCTTCCTAAATTTATAAGTTTTTTTGAAGCTTCTTGTGAGCGACAGGTGAACCGCTTAGCTTGTCTGTGCAAGACATTCACTCCAATGCCTATGGAATTTTTTGTCCACCCACTTAACCTCCCTTAAGTGTGTTTTTGTGAACCCACAAAAGGGTTTCCGGGCCATGGAATATTGTGGTAACTACGCGGTCCACCTGGTCATTGCCATTGTGACCCTCATGCCCTATTTCCGCTTATGTACGTTCACAAGCTGCCGAATCTCGGCGTTGAGATCTCCGATACGGGGATTTCCGGGATCGGCCTGACGAAGGTTGTCACGCTCATCGGCTAGAACAAACGCTTCCGCAGGGAAGTTTGGACGGGGATCCGTAATGCATTCTGCCGGTACGAAGCGAGCTGCAGTAGCAGTGACAACCCTGCGGAACTTACGCTCACCAAGGTGGACGTCGGCTGGTGTGTGGAGTGCAGCGAAGGTGTTCTCGGTAAATTCCGCGAAGGCTTTCCAATCACCTTTAGAAAATTTGATATAAGTCCATTGTTCCGCGGAAGCAAAGTCGATTGGTTTATCGATCGAGATGACTATGGGCAGATGGTCTGATGCCAAAGTCAGCATAGCTGTTTATCAGACCAGCGCTAGCCAGAGTTGCAGCAGCTGCCCACAATCCTGGTGGGTGCGTCGTCGTTCATTATACAGAATGCCAAGAACAGCCAAGTCTGTTCTCCTACGATCATTTGACAGGCTTGAGTGCCAAAGATCATGGTGCGCGTTTAAGTTGCCAACTACCATACGGTTTTCACCTCTGAGTAGCGCACCTATTTCCTGCCGGGCAGCTGTTGACAGGGGGTATGTATACGTTAAATATTTCGAGCTCAACATCGCCTGACCGGATAGCAATGCCCTGGCATTCTATGGTAGTATCCCTTTGGTCGATGTCTGCTTCAATAAGACGATACTGCACGGTGTGGCGCGTGATGAACTCTAAGCCACCACCATTATCTCGCTCGCGATCTCGACGGTG